TGTGCCATCTTCGTCAGCCTATCCACGACGACCATCACCGCGTCGTTACCCCCAGGGTTCGAAGGTAACCCCGTGACGAAGTCCATGGTTACTTGCTGCCAGGCGCGTTCGGGCGGTGGGATCGGCTGCAATTGACCCGCCTTCCGCTTCCTTGAACTCTTCATCACCTGACACGTCGGGCACGAGCCCACGTGCTGCTGTACGTCGGTCAATAGCTCCGGCCAGTAATAATACCGCTGCAGTTGCTGTCGCGTTTTTTCTACCCCGAAATGTCCCGAGGTAATCCCGTCGTGTGCCTCCTGCAGTAGCAGCTCCCTCAGTAGTGAGTACGCGGGTACCCAAATGCGGTTGGTGCCTGTTTTTACGTAATAAACTCCTTTTGCTTCTGCCAGTTGCTGTGAATTTCCGGTCGTGAAGAATGGGTCGGTGCGGTATCCGTGGGTGAATAGGCCAGTTAGAAGCGGGTTGGTCTGGGCGAGTAGGATGGCGTGGAGTTGGGCGGTGGGGCGGGTGAGAGCGTCGGCGATGTTGGATGCGCCTTTTTTGTACGTAACGGTGTAGTGAAAATTGGACTCGAGATAGTCCAACCAGCGAATCTGTCGTGGGTTGAGATTCGGTTGGGCGCGAAGGTACTGTAGCGAGCGGTGGTCTGTCCGTACTGTCACGTCGGCGCCAGTCAGGTAACATCGCCAAACTTTGAACGCGTGCACGATCGCTAGCATCTCGCGGTCGTGTATCGGGTAGTTACGTTCGGGCGGGTGTAGTTTGCGGGACTCGTACGCGATTGGCTGGAGGCCGTTCCCGAAGTCCTGCAACAGTACCGCTCCCACAGCGATGTCACTTGCGTCGGTGACGAGCTCGAACGGACGGTGGGGATCTGCAATGTGAAGGACGGGCGGGGAGCACAAAATATTTTTGAGGGCCGAGAAGGCAGCTTGCTCTTTCTCCCCCCACGTGTACTCAACCCCCTTCCTCAGCAGGTCGGTCAACGGGGCAGTCAGCTTCGCCATGTCGGGGACGAACCGACGCACGTAGTTGACGAACCCCAGAAAACTCTGCAACTCGGTCAGGTTGGTCGGCGCGTGCCACGCCTGAATCGTCGCAATTTTCTTCGGGTCGATTTCCACTCCCGCAGCTGAAATAACATGTCCCAAAAACTCTAGGCGGTCCTGTAAAAACTCACACTTAGATGCTTTGGTCAGTAGGCGGTTCTCACTTAGGATTTTAAAAACTGCTTCGATGTCTTGTAAGTGCTGTGCTCTGTCAGGGCTGTAAATCAGTATGTCGTCCAGATAAACGATGACGCACTTATCTAAAAGTGGGCGGAATGCTTCATTCATGGTCATTTGGAAAGTGGCGGGGGCGTTGGTCAGTCCGAATGGCATGACGGTGTATTCGAAGGATCCGTAGCGTGTTCGGAATGCGGTTTTAGGGCAGTCGGGTGGGTTGACGCGGATTTGGTGGTAGCCTCCTCGGAGGTCGATCTTCGAGAAAACCCGGGCTGTTCGCAGTTGGTCGATCAGTTCGTCGGCTCGTGGGATGGGGTAACGGGATTTGATGGTAACCCTGTTCAGTGCCCTGTAGTCGATGCACATGCGAAAACCCCCGTCCTTTTTCGGTGTGAACAGTATTGGTGCGGCGAAGGGCGACGAGCTAGGGCGAATGAATTTTTTCTCGAGCAGGTAATCGAGCTGCTTCCTTAGTTCGTCTAGTTCGGGTTGGGTCAGTCTGAACTGTCGCTGTACTGTTGGCTGTGCCCCCGGTTCCAGGTCTATCCTATGATCGTGCGGTCGCTGAGGTGGCAGTCCCGTCGGCAGGTCGTCAGGGAAAATGTCACTGTACTGTTTTAACAGTGCCGCCAGGTCACTCGGTACGTCGGTCAGCAGTTTCTGTAAATCGCCCCCCTTGTCTGCTGCCTCGGCTTCCCGAATGTCAACCGCGTACACGTCAGCTCCGGCCGCTACAGCGCGTTTCATCGTGATCGCATTGACACGCACCGACGAAGACCCAGGCGAGCCCCAGCGAGGTAAGGCGATGTTGTTACCGTTTACTCGCACGGTGCAGTCACCCGTTGTCCAGTCAATTCGCGGATTGTGTCGTCGCAGCCAATCACGCCCGAGTAAAATGTCGGTTCCGTCGAGGGTCGTTGCGAGCATTTCCTGACTAAACGTGAAGTTACCCCCGCATCGAATCCGAACTCGGTCTACGCGTTCCCGTATTGCCAGCGGCTTGCCGTCTACCAGTCGTGCGTCGATCCCAGGTAAGCATCGGTCCAGTGGCAGTCGCAGTTTTCGTGCTGTAGCAGTGTTAATGAGGCTGTGGCTGGCTCCCCCGTCTACGAAGATTTTAACTAAGTCCGTCCCAATTTTCCCACTGAGCAGTATAGGGCTATCTACCGTGGTACCCTCCTTATTCGGCCGGGTGTGGTCGATTGCGTGAACCGGCACAATCACTCGGTGAGGGTCGGTTGGGTCGGGCGAGCGGCGTGACCTGTCAGTAGAGGGCCCGTCTGCTACTGACTTCCAGCGTTTCCCTGCTGCTTGGTCTGTGTCTGCTGCTCAGCTTCCCCCTTTCCCTTAGCGTTTTCCGGGCATTCGCTCTTGCGATGTCCCGGCCGATTGCACGCAAAGCAGCGCCCTTTGAACGGTGCGGCAGCGGCATTTGCGGCGACGGCGCGTATCGTGGCGCTCTCGTTCGTCCCACGAGGCCGATGTCCCCAGGTGTTGTTTCCGTAGGACCCCGGTCTCGGTCGGCGAAAAAAGTCGAGCTTCTCCGCCATAGCGAGAATTTCCTGAAACTCAGTGACGCCGCGAAGCTGGATTTCCTGAGCGATGTCCTGCTTCAGGCCGCCGATGTAGCGGTCGATGCGTTCGCTCTCATGCATGTAGCCCACCTGCTCGCATAGCGCCAGAAATCCGCTCGTGTAATCCTGGACGGAACCGAGTTGGCGCCAAGTGCGGAGCTTCTGTCGCGCCGAGATCGAGGCCGCAATTGGCTCAAATCGAGCGCGCAGACCTGCGCACCACGCGTCCCACGTGCGATACTGGGGCACCTCCACGAAATACGACGGCGCCCAGGGTCCGGTTTGTCCTTCCCGTGTCGGTAGTGTCGCGTAGTCGGTCGGCTTCGTGACGATGACGCGCCACCAGTCCATGGCGGGTCCTCGCAGCAACGACACGGCGTATCGAATCTTCGCCGAGTCCTCCGAGACGTAGTTGGCGTCGAAGAAGACATTCATTGTGAATAACCACGCCTGGACGGTAGGACCACCCCGTTGACTCGGGTCAAAGCATGGCGGGCGCTGCGGCTTCAGCGGCATCGGTGACGGCAGTCCCGAATCGTGGGTTGGTGCCGAAATCGTGACGCGAGGCTGACTTGGGGCCGCAGGCGTCGCTCTTGGGTGTGTCGTGCCGTGGTCGTCGTCTCCGTCGGGGCGGACGACGCCATCACTGGCCGCGCTCGCGGGTTGCCCTACACTCCCGTGTTGTGATGTTGAGGGTGCGGGTTGAATCGGAGTGCCGGGTGCTTGAGATTGTGCTCTCATGAGGTCATTTTGCAGTGATGAGCGTTCTGCCGTCAATGCCGCGATTTCCTCGGAGCTATCGTGCAGTTGTCGCAGCAGATCGTTCAAACGCTCCTGCGTGAGAGTGGTGACGTCGATATTTTCGGCCATGACGAAGGGCGTCGGCTCGTCTTAGTCTAGGCGCAGTCGTGGCTGCACGCGTTTACGAGAGAACGCGAGGGCAGCGGCTCCTAGGGGCTAAGGTGCGTATGTCCCTTCGAGTGAAAAATCAAAAGTTGATTTCCTGGTGTGCGGAAAAATGCGCGGTCCGAAAAGAAAGGGGCTCGGATACCAAGTGTTACGGGTACAATGAATCGAAGTAGCGAGAATTGCACTAAGGTGTCAAAACGAGTACAAAATGTGAGCGAAGGCATGAGCGAACATTTATACGCGAAACATGCAAAACGGTAACGCGGTGCGTGCGAGCTTGCTAGTGCTACGCTGGAGCGAGGCTCGGGCTAGTCCCGAAGCGTGGGCCGATACGGCCATGCCAGCAGTGCGAGGTTTGGCAAAACAGTGCGCGCGAAGTCGGCGAAGGTCCGTTAGTAGTAACGGGCGAACAATCGGCTGTTGCTGTACGCGATGTAGTCGGTCCCGTAAGGAATGCCGAGAAAATTCCTTACAGTGAGATTGTTTGGCAAGGGTATTTTTTTCAAACATTGCTATATCAATATTTTTGAGTTTGATAGGCTGAAGGCTTAGTTGCTCAGCTGGTGTGATACGGAATAGGGCCTGAAAGGCGTAGGTTCGAGATTGGCCGAAGTGATTTTGCAGGGGCCCGCATAGTGTTTTGCTCGCCACGTAGCATTCTTATCAGTATTACTGGGACTGAACACTGTACAGTCAGGGAAATATGTTCCTTACGCTGTTTTTCAAAGGGTACAAAAAAACTTACACTTTCTGGCCTAGGGTAAAAAATCCACTACCCTGTCTGTGAACGGGTAACTGAAAAAGAGCGGCCGCCAGTCAGTGCAAAAAGGGTATTTTACCCTGATAACGAGAGCCCTGCTCCAGTGCTTGCTTGTTATATACACACGTTGGAGGCCACTCAAGCATCCGTCTCAGTTTTGGGGAAAGAGATCAACTGCCGTACAGTACGACACAATGGCTGATTGGGTTTACTTCGATGCTCTGCCAGCATTAGGGACGAAAGCTGACAATACATTCTTTCGAATGGTGAAGTCATCGGCCTTTTCAGGCTTCAAATCCTGCCACACAGTCAGGTAGTGGCAAACAGAGCAGTAGCGAGCAGATCAGTCATGAACAGTGAGGCTGTAAGTCCGATGGTGGAGGTCCAGCCAACACACCACTCACCATTCCAAAATTTGCAAGCAGAACCACTTAAAGCACCAAAGGATCCGGCTCGCAAGTTGCAATGACCATGAACATCAGAGAGTGCTTTACAATGAAACTAGATGATGGTACGAACAGTACCCACCCCGTCAAGGACTTTGGAGAGGCGCGCAATTTCCTTCTTTACATACTCGTCCCCCTTTTCCACCACACTCCTCATCACCTTCAGGTACCGCTCTGCATGCCTGCAAGGCACAAGGGAAGGAGGGCGGGAGGCGGGGAGTGGGAGGGGAGAAGTGGTTTTTGAAACGTATGAATATCTCCTGCACATGCACCCCCTTTGTCCACCCCGCTCTGCATCAAGTAAAGCTCGTCCACCCCTCCTTCTAACCCTCTCTTACTCACCCTCACTCCGTTCTCCCTCTATGTGCCATCTTGTCCCTCACTCTCTCACCCCCCCCCTGGCTTTGCTCAACCCCTCTCACCTCCCTATCTTGAAAAATCCCCATCCCCTCTTTACATCTCGTCATTCCCACTCCTCTCTCATCGCTCCCCAATCTCTCCCCTCTCTCCCCCCTCTTCCCCACCCTCTCTCCCTTCTCCTCCCTTTCTTAGTCACCATTTCACAGTCGCCGGCACAGCCACTGCGTCTGCTTCTGCCATCAGACCAGCCCTTTCTTGAGCCGAAGCTTCCAGGAATCTACTCGCAATTCTGTCCAGAGACTCAATGCGTCCAGCCTGCACAAGCAAGCAGCAGAGGGAGAGGTAGCGGCAAGAAGGCCTATGAGTCCCCATCCCTATGAGTCCCCATCCCTATGAGTCCCCATCCCTATGAGCAGCAGTCATATGAGCCGACTGAAATGATCCAATCCACCGCATTGGTTAGTCCCCATCCCTATGAGCCGACTGAAATGATCCAATCCACCGCATTGGTTAGTCCCCATCCCTATGAGCCGACTGAAATGATCCAATCCACCGCATTGGTTAGTCCCCATCCCTATGAGCCGACTGAAATGATCCAATCCACCGCATTGGTTAGTCCCCATCCCTATGATCCGACTGAAATGATCCAATCCACCGCATTGGTTAGTCCCCATCTTTATGAGCCGACTGAAATGATCCAATCCACCGCATTGGTTAGTCCCCATCCCTATGAGCCGACTGAAATGATCCAATCCACCGCATTGGTTAGTCCCCATCCCTATGAGCCGACTGAAATGATCCAATCCACCGCATTGGTTAGTCCCCATCTTCCCACTTCTCCCATTCCCCACTTCCCACCTCACACTGTTCTTCCAATCAGCCGCACCCTCAAAACCCTCAAGACCCTCAAGACTCACCGCGCTGGTGAGGCCGCCCTTGACGGTCCTGCTGGTGCCGGCGTGTTCATTCACAAACCGCACCAGCTCCACCAACCCCCTCTCCCCACTGTACTTCTCCCCCTTCCCCTACCCCTTCCCCTCCCCTCCCCTCCCCTCCCCTCCCCTTCTCCTTTCCCCTCTACACGTTAAGACGTCTCAAAACTCACCCCACTGGTGAGGCCGCCCTTGACGGTCCTGCTGGTGCCGGCGTGTTCATTCACAAACCGCACCAGCTCCACCACCCCCCTCTCCCCACTGTACTTCTCCCCCTCCCCATGTGCCCCGCTGCCGGCTGGGAACCACTTGAGCGTGGGGAAGCCTGATATGGCGAACCTGGTGCTGGGCGAGGTATGGTATGGAGTGATGAATGCACTGAGTGGTATAGGCTTTGGATGTGACTAGACTACCATACCAAACATACCACATGGTAATGTCAACGGGCTCTTTCAACGCACCTGACCTTGAGCTCCCAGTGCTCGTCAATTTCCACCTTGGAAGCTCGTGGCAAGAGCACTGAGTGAAAGCGTTAAAAAAGGGTTAACCATTTCCTGATAAGATGCCACAACATGCCACGCCTCGCACCTGTCCTTGAATTCCTCGTGCTGGTCAGCATCCACCTTGGAGGGTGTTGGCAAGGTCCGTAAGTCGAATCACCAAAAGCTGTTACTGATCTGGGTGGACACATTGAACCAGGATGGATATACCCTCTCTACAAGCCACGCCAAGCCTCGCACCTGTCCTTGAGCGCCTGATGCTGGTCAGCATCCACCTTGGCAAGCTCTCATCGACACATTTCCAACCAGGATAGCCCCTCTCCCTCCGCACCTGTCCTTGAGCTCCGTGTGCTGGTCTGCATCCACCTTGGCGATCACCACGCTGCTCTCCAGCCTGAATGCCTCCGCCACCTGCTCGTACACCTGCAGCGGCAGACAGACACCAGCAGTAAGACACGCAGGTAAGGGGCAACAGGGCAACATACAGGGGGTTACGGGGGGTTACGGGGGGTTACAGGGGGTTGCGGCGGGGATTTGCATAGGAATGAAAGCCAAGGGTTGAGGTGACGCGTTGTTGCGCTGATGATTCCATAAGAGGTGGAACGAAAGGGAGACGCCTTACGAAGCAACTGCGAGAGAGTGGAAATGCTCACAGGCGCGAGCTGCTTGCAGTGGCCACACCACGGGGCGTGGAACTCCACAAGCACGTGCCTTGTGGGGTCACAGGGTAGTTTCCCTGACGATAAAAGGTGAGACTTAGCTAGCAGAAAGATGCGCGAAAAGCTGATTGTAGGGGCGAGGTGCTCACAGGCGCGAGCTGCTTGCAGTGGCCACACCACGGGGCGTGGAACTCCACAAGCACGTGCTTGGTGGGGTCCAGAGCGATGACATCAAACGTGGTTTCGTACTCCACTCAGAAAGTCCTTCACCCTACAGTCAAAGGTGAGTTCTACATGCAGGCACAATGCAGGGGTGCGGTTCTCACAGGGGCGAGCTGCTTGCAGTGGCCGCACCACGGTGCATAGAACTCCACGAGCACATGCTTGGTGGGGTCTAGAGCGATCGCATCGAAGGTGGCAGGTGTGAGGTCCACCACGTGAGACATGGCCACAGGCACACGCACACTCGTGCCTGCATGGGTGGGGTGTGGTGATGAGGTGATGTGGGGATGAGAGAAAATGAGATAGTGCTTGTTGCGGTTCCGAAAAATGGCATAAAAAGGTGGCTGGAGTGAGGTCGACCAGGTGTGACCAGGTGTGACCAGGTGTGACCAGGGGTGACCAGGCGTGACCAGGCGTGACCAGGGGTGACCAGGGGTGACCAGGTGTGTCCAGGGGTGACCAGGGGTGACCAGGTGTGTCCAGGTGTGACCAGGTGTGACAAGGTGTGACCAGGTGTGACCAGGAGTGACCAGGAGTGACCAGGAGTGACCAGGAGTGTCCAGGTGTGACCAGGTGTGACCAGGTGTGACCAGGCGTGACCAGGCGTGACCAGGCGTGACCAGGCGTGACCAGGGGTGACCAGGCGTGACCAGGCGTGACCAGGGGTGACCAGGTGTGACCAGGAGTGACCAGGTGTGACCAGGAGTGACCAGGAGAGACCAGGCGAGACCAGGGGTGACCAGGAGTGACCAGGAGAGACCAGGCGAGACCAGGGGTGACCAGGCGCGACCAGGCGTGACCAGGTGTGACCAGGTGTGACCAGTAGTGACCAGGTGTGACCAGGTGTGACATGGTGTGACCAGGTGTGACACGGTATGACCAGGTGTGACACGGTATGACCATGTGTGACACGGTGTCAGACACACGCACATTCGTGCCTGCATGGAAAGAACGTGGATGTGGGGACTGGCAGGCCAGCTGGCAAACTTCTGAATCCGTCCCCACTCAACCCGGTGCCAAATCGGTAGGTGACAAACTCCCCTTCTCAACGCGACACTTTTTAGCATACACTAAATCCGCAAACACCCACCCAACTTCATTTCACCCACCCAGATGCTTATGATTCACGCACCCAGCTTCTCATTCACCCATGTCACCATGCTTGCAGCCTCCCTGCGCCCATCATAGCTGGAGGGAGTGAAAGGGAGAGATAGCGGGAGGGAGACGGGGAATAGAATCATATCAGGAGAGGAGGGTAAGAGCACTGGAGCATCCACGAGGCATCAGGTACCATCACGTTTCGACCAAGAGCAATCCAGAGCAATCATGCGACCATGTCATGCAAACAAACACGTACCATGCAATCATGCAATCATGCAGGTGCACGTGCCAGTCAAGTCCAAGAGAAAAATCGAATTGTAACGTAATAAAGCGCAAACACCCAAACCCCCTCATAGCCTCCCCCAACCCCCGCAACCCACACACCAACCCCCCTCACTCCGCTCCTCCACGCACTCACTCGACTGGGATGTCAGTGCCAGCAGGAAACCACTTGAGAGTGGGGTACCCGCGCACCCTGTAGTCGCTGCACATCTCCTTGTACGCGTCACAGTCCACCTACGATAAGGGGCACATGGCTTGTGAGTCGATTTAAAAGGGCAGCACAGCACCCCGTAGTCGCTGCACATCTCCTTGTATGCATCGCAATCGACCTGCCGTGGAAGACATATCGCTTCTGAGTCTATGGGAGGCCTCTCAACTCGGAAAAGGGCCATTCGCGTAACATGTTCTCACTGCACATCTCCTTGCCATTCGCGTAACATGTACTCACTGCACATCTCCTTGCCATTCGTGCACATCTCCTAACGAACTCACCTTAGCGACGACCACCGACTTGGTTTTCTTGAAGGCTGTCGCGAGTTTCTCGTAATCCGGAGCGAGCTTCTTGCAATGGCCGCACCTGGCAGCACCAACCATGGGAGGAGACAAGTCACTCGGCAGATTGGAAAAATTAGCGCTGCAAGCGAGCCTGAAACGGAGACTGAATGGAAAGCTACAGGGAAGGTACGCAGGGAACCGAATGGAAGCAGTAAGTATACTGGGAGGATGTGTAACAGGAAGAGGTGTTTCGGAGTATAATTTGCCAAAGCGTCAATTCTTACCATGGCGCGTAGTATTTCACGAACACCGCCTTTTCCGTTCCCACGAAATCGCCAAAATTGTTAGGCGTCAGCTCGACGACGTCGGACAAGTCGTCGGCGATGCTGCGCGACGCAAGTGCTGCGAGGATTAGCGACAGCAGAACAACGCGACAAGCCATACCGCGGCTCGCCCCCCCTTGTGTCACTATTATGACGAATAACATACGTTTAGCGCCTCGTTCGTTAGAGGAATCCAACTACCGCATTACAAGAGTTATCAGAAGCTCGTAGGTGGTCAGTAGAACAGGGATGGTGTGGGATGACGCGAAAACCTCTCCTGATAGAATAGGAAAAGCTGCAAGTACCCAAATTCAGATGAAGGCTGACATTCCCCGCTCATGCATTCCCTTCCAAGCCAATGCCAGCTGCAATGTCCATTGTCGAGGCTGGTAGCTTACAACGCGAATATAAACTGTACAAGTTTCACAAGTGGCACAAATTTTCTTACAAGGCGCTCAATTTCCTTTCCATGCAGCCATGGAGTGAAATTGAAGCCATTTCTTCTCCAGAGTCCAAACGAAACATGTAAGGCACATTTGTCAATCCACCCATTAACCTTATTCAGCTTACATATAAAGCACTTGCAGTTCATTATAACTCGTCATTGGGTGCTCCCTTTTTCCCCTTGCCAAGGTCCTTCCACAGCTTTTCATCATACTGCTTCCACATGTCATCATCGTAACCCTCTCCCTTGCGGTGATCCACATTCTGGGCGAGGTTCTCAAAGTCCTTGGCCGAAAACATCTGCGATGGGGGACGCAACCACACGTGAATAACAATGGGATGCAAGTAGCACGAATGAATCAGAGATCAAAGTAGGAACACGTGGCGCAGGCAGGACAGCATAACAGGAAGCAGGCAAGCGCTCATAGGAGGGAGGGGTGGGGGGAGGGGGGGTTACTGGGGGGCGCAAGAGATGGAGAAGCTACGAAGCAGCACAAGAGGAGGAGAAACACGGGTACACATGAGTCATCTTCGAGAACCAAGAGATTCTCAAAGGTTACTCACAACAAGAATTAGAGAAGCTATTTGAGGATATGGGGAGTGAAGGAACACCACATGGGAAGCTTATTTACCTTAATCTTATCACCAAAGTTTCCAGAAGCCTTCAGTTTCTCTGCACAAGCACAGAAGAAGGTGGGGAGACAACAAGAATGCGACACGGAAAAGGGTTGTGAGACTGTCATCACGTTTGGGTTGACTCAAAACGAAGGGACTTCTGAGTCGAGTTAAGAATGCGACATGGAAAGGAGTTGTGGGCCTGACATCACTTCTTTACGAAACCCCACGATACCGACCGCTAACCTTATAATTCGGGCCGCTGACCCAAAGAAAAACAAACACTAGGAAATCACCAAAACCGCTGACCCACCCAGAATCCTCTGGATGTCAGCATCCTTGGATGATGGATTGTCGCCAGCGGACGAATCAGATGAGGCAGATTTCTTGGAAGCTTCCTTGGGCTGCCTCTGCTGCCTCTCCTCCTCTGTGAGCACCGGCAGGTGGATGGTCTCCCTGAGGCGACTCACCAGATGCTCCTTTTCCTGAATTAGGAAAGAGAGACAAGGGGAGTGAATAGAGGAGGGTGAGGCAAGAGAGAGGGATGGGGAGGGAGGAAAGGTTGATATGAGCATCGGCAGGTGGATGGTTTCCCTCAGGCGAATCACCAGGTGCTCCTTCTCCTGTTACAAGGACAGGGAGGCATATGGGGGATACGAGAGGGGATGAGGGACGGGAGAGCAAAGGTTGCTGAGGGATGGTCTCCCTGAGGTTACTCACCAGATGCTCCTTCTCCTGACGTACGGAAACAGGCAGAGATGCGGGGGTAAGAGAGTGCAAGCTGAGGGAAGAACGAGGGGCAGGAAGGAAAGGCAGTTAAAGAGAGGTAAAGATGGAGGGATGGGGAGACGAGAGTGGATGCAGGGTGAAGGGGGGAGAAGGTGGCATATGACTGGTCTGCTTAGCTAAGGAAACTGCTGAGGAAACCAAGAGTGGGCAATGAGAAAACAGATTGTGCGAGGGGTGGGTGTGAGGAGAGGAGACGTACTATGCAGCCTTGGCACTCCACCCCTCGCTCCTCCAGCATCCTCTGCCACACACCAGACACACACAAGCCAAACACACGCCGCACACAAGCCGCACACAGGCCGCACACAAGCCGCACACAGGCCGCACACAAGCCACACACAAGCATCACCCACACACATTGGCAGAGCGGAGGGCCAACAACAGATTGACAAGAACGTTCTCGAGATGCGAGACAAGGAAAGGGCCTCACGAACGAGCAGCAGAAGGCATCCGACTGGCGTTCCAGCTGCTGGAAGATTGCGCATGCCGGCAACGATTTCCCTGTCAGCATGCAGCATGCAGCATACCCTGCCTACATCCGCAATTCAGACAACAGACAACACCGCACATGCCACTGCAATTCACCTATCACTCGCTTTCCGAAAGGTTTCAGACAGCACCCTCTGGGTACCCTGCACCTCTATTCTATCCGCACGCCTAAATCTGACACGAAGCTTTGGGACGAAAATTGAGGGTATTTTAGGTAGTTGTAGTGTAGCTGACAACGTTCGCTCACCTTGAGCTCCTTGACTCTCAGCTTCGTCAGATCCACGTCAGCACTGCCGCCTGATGCTGATTGCTCATCGGCTTTCAGGGGAATGGGAAGGGGCACGCGAGAGTGAAAAGACAAGGACGACTGAGAATTCTCAAAAGCATACTCAATAAGAAAGGCACAAAGTAGGCCATAATGGGGTAAGTGCGGAGATCGGCTACGGGGCCATAATTTCAAAAGTCTATGATTGAGTCGACAGCTGCGAAACATTCAAAAGATTATGTGACGTGCTACCTAGGAAACAAAACATTCAATTGCTGTAGAGCGAAACTTACCTGCAGCGAACGGCAAGATGACGAGAAGAGCGATCAGCGAAACGAGAGTGACGCGTCGCATGGAGACGTCGAGCGACATGGCGAACGCCGAAAAAGGATGAGTGAACAACAAATCCTCGTCGAAATTGGATTGGTCGAATTAGGAAGACTCTACGTGACTGGAGGATAGCAAAGGGATGAAGAGAGCGAAGGAAGACGAGCAAAGGCCCTGGCCTGAGACGAATCGGAAATTGAACAATCTGGATTCGGGAATGTTCTGGACCGTCGAGTTGGCATCACCAAGCTGTAGCGGAAATTCCGCCTATCGGAGGACATGTTGGAAAAGCAAAAGTTTGCGGTGAGCGTGGATCGAACACGCGACCTTCAGATCTTCAGTCTGACGCTCTCCCAACTGAGCTATCCCCGCACGTCTACATTGGATTCATGTAACATTATATCAAATAATTTTTACTACGGTACTCTGCTCACGCACGAGTAGTCGTCATGGCTCCTTACACGAAGCCTTTAGAACCGTCAATCGCGGCGCAGGTCGCGGTACTCTGCAGTTTTCCCAAAGTCGGCTTTCAGGTAGGATGCGACGCGATACGCATAGGATTTTACCACCTTCTCCCCGCGTCTCCTGCCCACTCTCTCTCCCTATCAACCTCAGCTTGTCACTACTGTTGCGCCCTCTTCGCACACACCCGCGCTTCCTAACATTTGTGTTCCCGATTTCCTTGTATTCCAGGTTCGGGACGTGCGGTGCGGGTGGGAGGATGCGGAATTCGCGGACCGGTTCACGGTGCACGTGCCGTGCGGTTGGGACAAGCTAGAATGTACGGTCACGATTCACCGCCCATACGCACGCTGCATGCAGCACCGCCCTTAACCCCCTCGATTCCGACGAGTCAAACGTGGTCGTTATAACTCACGCCCTCCATCCTTCCTTCCCACCCCTCCCGTCCCTCCGTCTCTCCCTTCACCCCCAACTTCCAATTCCCTATCCTCAATCCCCCCATCCCCTCATCCCCCCCGCGCGGCAATCCCAGGGTACGTGCAGTTCAACGGCAGTCGGCCGTGGGACCCACCTGACGTCATCTTCCACTCCTCGCCTGATGGCCTCTGCTTCCAGCCTCTGCTGCTCCCAGGTGAAGCTTCAGGTGCTCCCGGGTGAGTTCTCTCAGGTGAATCCTCCTGTAGTTTCAGAAGGATTCACCTCTGCTCCGAGGAGGAGAATATTCAGCAGTTTCAGTTGAATCACCCAGTGCTCTCAGGTGAATCCTCTGTTGCTCCCAGGTGAGTCCTACGCTGCTCTCAGGTACATCTTCTGTTGCTTTCAGGTCAGCCTTCTGCTGTTCCCACCTGCATCCGCCGGTGCTTCCAGGAAAATTCTCCTTTTTCTTTGGGGTGGATTCTATGCTGTTCCCAGGTGAATCTTACTGTCTCTCTCAGGTGAACATTTTGCCTCCCTTGGAACCTCAGGTGAATCCTCTGCTGTTTCCAGGAGAATATGCATGACAGGCAGCACAACGACTCCGACCGCCTGCTGTGCCTTCAAGTTACCACTTTGGACCCATCTCAACCCATCTCACACCTCTCGTGTGGGGGGTGCAGGAGGCATGGCTGGTGAGGGCAGCAGCTGGGGCCTGTTAAAGGACTGGCAGCACAACGACTCCTACCGCCTGCTTCACTTCAAGTTACCGTTTTGAACCCATCTCAACCCAAGTCGCACCTCTCATGTGTGTGCGGTGCAACCATGCAGGTGACATGGCTGGTGAGGGCAGCAGCTGGGGGCTGCTCAAGGACTGGCAGCACAACGACTCACACCACCTGCTGCGCCTTCAAGTTATACTCTAATCGAACCCATCTCAACCCATCGTAACCCATGACGCACATGCGGGATGCAGGTGGCATGGGAGGCAGTGAGAGCAGCAGCTGGGGGCTGCTCAAGGACTGGCAGCACAACGACTCCTACCGCCTGCTGCGCCTCCTGCTGCACCTCAGGTGAATGTTCGCTTTCATGTTGCACCTCGAGTTACCGCTTTGAATTCTTCTGATTCCATCCGAACCCATTTGAACCTTGCTGAACCCATCTGAACGGGTTCAACCCATGTTGCAATTCTCGTAAAAAAATACCCTCTTATTTCATCTCCGGTGTCCTTATCCTAACCCAACGTTCGTCCCTCCGCTCACACTACCTCCCATACCATCCTCCCTCCCATTCCCCCCGTACTTCCACCACGCA